TGTAATTCAAATGAAGATGCTCAGACGGTGTTGTTAATTTATCCAAGTGAACGAACATGTGCGGACATGTTCACATTCTCTATTAAACATATATTTAATAAATAGGGCTTCTAAATAAAATATATCCCCAACTTGTATAAAAACATGGCTTTAGGAATTGAGGAAGTTACAGCCTAGTTTTTTTTAAAGGCTGTAGTTTTCAAAATGAGTTTAAAGACTGATTGGTAACTTTAAAGACTGTGAATAAAAATTAAGGCTGTAGCTATTTTTTACAGCCCAACCAATCATCCAAGATCTTGTTCGACTACCTTAATTGCCCGTGTTAAAAAACGGGTTGTATAAAATATGTTTAGTTAGATTCCGATATTTTGATATTAGTACGATTTTGGGATTAATACTATGGAAACATGATTCAATCAGATAATTTTGAAAACCATAACTGATCCAAACTGATTTTTTTATTCGTTTCAGGTTCAAACCGGGATATTTTGTCGAGATCTATTATAAACCTTTTTCAAATGCTGATGTGGAGGCTCGGCGTTCGGCGGTGGGTGTCTGTGCCGATTTCACCCTATTCGGCCAATTCTACGAAAGTTTTGAATTTTTTTGTTTTTTCTTTGTTTTGAAGTCTAAAATCGTATGTTACGTAGTAGATCTGTTAAGTTCTAATGAAAAGCACAAGAATAAGGAGACCAAAAATAGTGTATTTGAGACGGCGCAAACCCGGGTTGCTGAAAACGTTTCTCTTAAGGTTGAAAACGGGGATAAAATCGTCTTTTTAAAACGAAAAATACACAAATAGAAAAAATATCACTTTTTAGTCTTGAACACGTGATCACATACTCACTTTTCCTCCCTCTCATCATCACTTGACCGCAAACGGAAAAACCCTTAATAATATCCCAACAAAATTATTTCTGCCATAAAATACATGAAGTTTTTACGGGTTTCCAAAAAGACCTCAACTAAATAAAATTGTTCGTTTAAATACACAAAATTTCAAAATTTGAAAGTTTACACCAACAAATTAACGGAAGTTAACATTCGTTAACGAAACTTTAAATGCTGTTAGTTTAATTAAAAACCTTTGAAAAATACTCTAACTAAATTGTTTGTTTTGTTAGAAAAATATACGGGTTTTTATGATTCAACTAAAAAATACCTCAACTAAAAAATACCTCAACTAAATAAATTATTCTGGGGAAACCGTAAAAGTTCATGTATCTTTTTTGGAAAAAATAATTTAATTGAGATATTTTTAAGGGTTTTTATTTGCTGTAACTATTTTGCATATTTATTATATATACTATATCTTAATAAAGAAATATAATAAAATATTAGATTGTATAAAAAACTATTTTTCGATTTATATCCCAGTTTTGAAAAAATTGCTAGATCCGGATCGAACATTCGACTCACGTCTAGCGGGTAATTTCGAACAAGGACTCTAATCAACAAAGAGAAATAGGGTTTTAAACTTCAACGCAGCGTTTGGTGTCGTACGGACACTACTAAAAGACAGTCAATTTCGTTCGCATCACACCTCTTGGCGGATCCTACGAGACAACCAAAGAAAGATCTTCC